AGTAGGACTGCCCTGGCAGAGGCTATATACGTGTGGCCATGTGAGAGCGTTTCGAGAGGGAGAGCTGACTCTCCGCACTCTCGGCCGTGCCAGGGCATTTCAAGGCATACACAATACTAACGTATTATTATTATGAAAATCGTAATGTGATTATGAATTTCTTCTGGAAGTTAATATTTTTCAGTTTCATTATTGACTTAACAGTTTATTTCAACTTTATTCAATATCCCAGTTGGTCATTGAAATTTAGGAAAAAAAATCAGCCACCAAAGTAAAATATATCGTTTGACTCACCATAAGTCAATACATATCTTTTCTTTTTTTTTTAGAAAAAAACCCAAATATCCATAATTTTCATTACAAACAATTCAGTTTTTATGTAACTTACTTTTGACAACAGTCAAGTAAATTAAATGGGCCACAATCACTCAATATATTCGTCTTTAAAGGTTCAAACCACTCATTTCATTATACTATTTATTTTCAGGTTACAATTCATCTACTCTACTTTACTTAATATAAAAAAGTAAAATAAAATCCTCTTACTTTCGTTATAATGAAAAATACAACAGGCGAAAAAAACAACCTTCAGAAAAGTCCACAAATGATTTAATAACTTTAACCAATCAATAGGTTTACAATCACCATGGTGTTTACAAACAAACTAGGAGTAGTATTCACTAGTAAATTATCGAATAATCAATTTTAGAAAAAATTTTTCTAACCTTCTCACTTCTATATTCCTATATTATCGTGATATTAGCCTGTTTATAGTTTGTATATTAAATGTTTTGACCGAAAAATAACTTCTTCTCCAAATCATTTTTGTTTTTATTTTTTTTCGTTGTCTTTTTTTCTCTGTTCTTTAGTGGGGTATTCAGTAGTGCTTATTATCCATATCTTGGGCAAGCGGGTTATCTTGGCCCATTAGTTGCTGTGGAATTTAAAGCACCTAAAAAAAGCGTCGCTATTTTGGTTAAATGTGCAATTTCCAATGTTCAAAATGCCAATAAAGATGAACTGAATTTTGAAATAATGGTTGATTAAAAACTGTCACTGACAATGATATCAATAATTAGTCTCTATATAGTTACAGAAATGGACAACCCTAATCACTTCCCATGATCATGTTCTTAAGTTGTTAGTCATTTAGCTACTGAACAACATTTAAGTAGTTTAACATTGAAGAATCAATGGTTGGTTCCGACACCAAATGCATTGGTTAAAACAAGATTAAATTGAAGAATTGATAATAAAATACACTGATAAGCCTCCTCAGTTCGACTTTCAGTGTATTTTATTATCAATTCTTCAATTTAATCTTGTTTTAACCAATGCATTTGGTGTCGGAACCAACCATTGATTCTTCAATGTTAAACTACTTAAATGTTGTTCAGTAGCTAAATGACTAACAACTTAAGAACATGATCATGGGAAGTGATTAGGATTGTCCATTTCTATAACTATATAACTACTTATACTTAATGACTATAGAATATTGTTAACATGAAACTTTGTTTTTGTTTTTGAGAAGTTCATTTTCGGTTCAATCGAACAATAGAAATACATGAAAGTTAAATAAAAATTTGCTCTTATATTTTGTAGTTAAAAAATTCGATACAGAAACATTAGATTTGTATCTATTTAGAATAATTTATCTTAATTGTTTTGAAAAAGATCTAAATAACTTTTATTGTTTCCATATTCGAATCTAATTTAATTGATGTTGTCTAAATCATTTCTATGTAATTTATTATTACCATTATTATTCTATTAATAAAGATAAATTTAGATAGAAAATTACTGGTGGGGGGAAGAATTTTTATTTTCGGTTATTACTCAATTTACTAAGGAATATATTTTTTTTTAAAGTCTTCAGGAATTCAGTAATATTCCAAATTATTCTTCACATTTTTGATATCAGGTTATCATTGAAGATAAGGGATTCTTGAGAATATGATATTTTAGAATATTAAAGATTCCCATTGTGGAAATTAGAACAACACATATAAGCGAACAAAATTGTTTTCAATTAAATCGTCATCAGGCTTTAATCTAATATACATGAATATTTATACGAAAATTTTAAACCAATCAAGGCAATATGGATCAATAATCACTATGACATAGAATAAGTCACTACACATAATAGGTAAAAGTACAAGTTGATAGTAGGAAGACAGGTGAACTGATAATAATGAGAATAATAAAAAATACAATAACAAAACTCTTATCAATAGTTAATCGTTGGAAATAGAAGGTCAAACAAACATGGGTAAATAGACTAGGAATAGTAATTACAAAACATTAAAATCATTACGTAATAAGATGTGTGTAAATAATTAGATAGTGAAGAATACAAACGGTAAGAGGCGGAATATTACAAACAAATAATGGATGTGGAAGTAAGGTTAACGATAACACAAATAGAATAAAATAAATAATGATAATAATAAATTTTTTTTTAAAATAAATAAATAATTGTTAGTTAAGTTATAACCGGCCATGGAAGGGATAGGGGGGTCACGTATTTCTTCTGTACACATAAATTTCATCCATAGATTACTTACTTACGCTTGTTACCCATCGTCGAGGAGCATAGGTCACTCATCAGCTCTATCCATCCAACCCTGTCCTAGGTAATCTTTTCCAGTTGCAATTTATCCTTTCCATGTCTACTTCCGATTCCCAACCCAGTGTGTTCTTTGGCCTTCCTCTTTTCCGTTTCCATACAGGATTCCAAGTTAGCGCTTACCTCGTGATGCCGTTTGATTACTTCCTCAATATATGTCCTATCAACCACCAGCGTCTTTTTCTCTTCAACTGGAAGCTGGTTTGTTCTCTCCCATAGTAGGGTGCTGTTGATGGTATCCGATCAAAGGATATTAAATATTTTCCGTAGATAACTGTCTATAAATATTTGTACTGTTTTGATGATGATTGTAGTAGCTCTCCATGTTTAAGCTCCGTATAGTAAGACTTTCATAATTATCGCATAGAAGATTCTGGTTTCGATGATGGCCGACAGTTGTTTTGAGTTCCACATGTTTTTCAACTGTAGGAATGCCGTCCTCGCTTTATCAATCTGTGCCTTCACATCTGCATCGGATCCTCCTTGTTCATCGATGATGCTAACCAGGTATGTAAACGTTTCAACTCGTTCCAGAGTTTCTCGATCAAATGTGATTGTGTTGGCGTTCTCTATTTTGTATTTGAGGATCTTGCTCATTCCCTTGTATATGTTGAAGAGTATTTCGGCAGAGGCTGGTGCTATACTGGCTACCTTCACCTGGATTTGTTGGTGTGTATGGGATAGGAAACCTAGGTCATCTGCAATGTCCGAATCGTCTAGCAGCATCAAAGCTGTCTATTGTCTTCCATGCTTCTCTGATGTGTGAAGACCTTCATAATCCGATTGAATATCAGAAAGAAGTAAAGGGGCGAGAATAATCGGGCTTGTCTTTACATGGAATACATCTGTCAGCTTTCCTCCATACACGACTTTGCATTGTAGTCCGTCGTATGAATCGACTGAGGAACAATAAGACAAAAATGTACTGTCATATTGTTACAACTCATATTCCGATGCAATATCTAGCGGTAAAGTTACATTACTAGTTTCATCAGTGTGACAAGGTTAAGCTTCTTAAAAATGTTATGTTCCTTCGTCAAAAAAAGAAAGATACACGGAAACTTTAGAACCGTACTTATGTAGTTAGGTTGACTATTACTCACAAAAAATTTCCAAAAGGTGGCTTGTGAATAAATTCTAAAACAGGTCTTTTAATGTAACATTGATGCCATCGTCCTGACAACATATGTAAATGATAATAAATCAAGCATTGAGGAAAACAGAGCTTATTTAAACCACAAATTCGCAATTCAATCATCATAAAATATGACTCGTTAGGTTTTCGAATAGTGTAATCATCTCAGACCGTAATGGGACTACTGATCTCTCAGGCATGCTCACCACTTATTTAAGTGCCGCTTTACTTACCTGTAAATACCGGGATTATTCATGCAGTATTTGGTTTTGGACAGTCACGTATTTCTCCTCCATTGAGTTAGGCCGTTCAAGCGTTGGGGGCATGTATTTAGGCTGAAATGGACCACATTTCGTAACAGAATAACTGTACGAATAGTGATCAGGTGAAGAGTTATTATAACACACAAACGAAACACTATATAGGAAGCGTAAATAAGTAGACTATAAGAATGAATAATATAGAGAAGTTACTTCTCAATTTTAACACATATGAGCTAATAAGTTCCATGAAACACATTTAAGTGGGCTCTTGAAATAAGGAGAACGAGACTGAGCTGTGTATAATGATACCCCAAATGTTCGAAAACCAGTATCGTAATGTGAATAAAGCATGTACTCATTGACAATTTTTATCAACTCTTGAAACATAGAATACTGGGAGGGAGCTATGTCATATGAACGCCTCCCTATCACAAATATCTGTATAATCTTATCATTTCAAAATTATATTATTTTGATTATATTTTCACTTATGGGTAACATTGAGCGCAATCGGTCACAGTGGAATAGACTGGCACTCATTCTTTGTTTTCTCTTAAATGCTGAGTTTGAAAATTATCTCATATGTTTTTTACTCCATGAATTCATCCTTTCTTCCCTAATCATATCGCCTATGTGTAAACCTTACTACTAATAATGACACTGTTAATACTCCTAGTACTGTGACATTTATGTCGCTGAGGGGATATATGGCAACTTTGACCGATGTAAATATTGTCAGGTTCTACGTTGTTTATGACTAACTGGAAGTAAAACTCAAAAATCATGAACCATGTATTATATACAAACTAGCAATATCATTTAAATCAAAGTGGAGAATGATTTACGAATCTTTAAATAAACAGAAAATCAAATATCTACACTGATTAAGTCAGAAATCTGACATTTCAATTTTTGAAAAATTCATAGGATAGATTGTTTACCCTTTTAAAATACAAAACTTGAAATACAATTAGTATATACAGTTTTATTCATGTAACTTATTTATTTACAAAAACAATTCCAAGACACTATCAATCATCAAATTTACAGTTACTGTTATAATCTACAAACGATCTGATCTATTTCGAGAACTAGTTCGTAAAACAATCAACAACAACAAAAAGAGATATCCATTAAAATTGTTGTAGTAAGCTGCGAAAGGAATTGACAATATCTATTCTACAAAAAAAATAGGATAAAAAAAGATAAATAAGAATCTATTCTCAAATGAAGAAATAGTTATGATGTATATGACATATAAATAACTTAATAGATATTAAATTTATTATCGGCTTTAAACACTTTGAGGTGAATAGAAAGATAATACTAGGCATAACTAATTTGTGAATAGTTAATTTGGATATATCCATGTATTTGTTAATAGAAATCCATTTTAACGATAAGGGATTTGAATCGACAACTGCATCTCTATGCTAATGTGGTATGGCAACTCGAACTGATGTACTTACGTACGAAGTTCTACGTTGTTACAGACTGACCATTTTAACGAGTTTATTTTCAAAATTTTGTTACAAAAAATGTATTTCTTCCTGTAATGTACATATTCCCAACTAAAATTGTTTAAAGTTTATTATTTATTGACAACAGGTTAATAACAAAACGTTTACGAATAAAATTACTATCTGAACTTCATAGCATACTGAAAAATAAATACAGTGGCATAGATAAACAAATACATATATATATATATATATATATATATATATATATATATATATATATATATATATATATATATATATATATATATATATATACCACTATTTACCCGGTAATTACTGGCCTGCATTTCAACGTAGTTCATGCGATGTCCAGTCACACAAACTAGTGGCCACATTATGACTCGTTCAGTAAAACTTACTTAGTACTGAGACTAGACAAGTACGATATTGGTCACTAATCTGTGATCAATCAATTCTAAACATTAAACAATTCGTTTGCAAGAAATGTGTTTGGTATTTTGAACTCAATAACAAGTTGTATAACTTACGATGATGGTCTTTTTTCTTCAATATAATTATCGCCAACGTTTGATTGTTGGTTTTGTGAGGATTTCAATTTTGACTTTTGAATACGCATTCCATTTGACTTTACGAAAGCTGACTGATCGGTAGAAAAGTGCACTATCGATTGTTGATTTTCACGAGATTCTCCTTTTATATCTTTTTCCATAGAAAGTAAGGTTGATTTTAAATTTTGATTGCGATTAAAATGAGAATGCAATTTAGATTTGAGACGCTTTTTACGAGGAACTTTTTTGACAATTCGATGCATATTAGTATTATTAGGTGATAAACGAGTGCAAGGTTTACTCAAACTGTTGTTATCACTACATTCAATATATGGATTTAAGGCGTGTTTAAAAGACGATTGGGAAGGGTTCGAATGATCCTATTTAAAAAGGATAATAAATAACAAAGAAGTTGGAAGTGGATATTTACAATCAGCACATATTATTTGTCGTCAATAATAATGAGACACAAAAAAATACATATTTGACCTCTAGTTCTATCATCAAATGCTAAAATAGTCGGACGATTAAAGCGATATTTTGACTATATTGCAAATAAAACATGCGTGATCGGTCGGTGAAACGTCGGACATTTTAATTACGAACTACACTTACTGTACGAATAGTAACAATTTGTACAATACAGGATTCACACTCAGAGCAGGGGAACCAGATTCTTAAGGTAATTGGGTTCAGGTGAACTAGACTGTGGTTAGAGGTATGTAAGAGGTTGATATTTACCAATTAATAACACTTTGAAGGCCCTGAGAAGGAAATTAGGCTAGTGGCGATCTCAACCTGAGAACGTTACTGAAGAGCATAAGGTAAGTCAAAATTTTATGTTGAAATATTAAAGTTATAATGGCCCTTCAGTCTCTTTATATTTGTGGAATGAAACCAAAATTACTCACTTCGGAATTAGGATCGTCAGTTAGCATATTAGTTATGGATTGTGCTTTAAGGTCTTGTTTTATTATGTTCTTCATTTTCTTGCTTACAACCAATACTGACCCATCCTCGTTACGAATATGCTTCTTGGAAAAGCGATCAGAAGGATGTCGAGAAGAGATAGTTTTCCTTACAGGAGCCATCCGACCTAAAGCAAAAGAAGAGTAGACGGATAACATACTTAAAGGTACATATGTAGTGAAAGACATCTCAGGTCTGGTGGCTTTGTCGATTACATATACTCAAACTAGGCACTGACCTAAATAAGCTCTTAAATAACATTGCACATGCAAAATGCTCTACAGAAAACACATTTATAAATATGTTTCTACATTGAAACATACCCCCAACAAACTTACGCCGACACTCAATTCATTTAGAAGATCGAGAATTGTCGGTGCATTCACGATGACAATGGTTTATAAATTTTGGGGTATTTTGGGAAAACTCCCGAAGTCAAATGACCTTCACCAATGTTTGGGGGATTCTGGGGAAATCTCCAAAGTCAAATGACTTTGACCAAGGTTAACGGGGAACTTTGGGGAAATATTGAGGAAATTCACTAGGTTTGGGTAAATTTCGGGGTTTTTGTGCCATTTCCCCAAAGTTCACTATAGCGGCTCCCCAAAAATGGGTCAAATTTTCCCCGAAATTTGGAGCTTGGTTTATGGACGACCTTTGAGTGACGCTATGGAGTCCACCTACATACTACGGCTAAATGAGGATTATAAACCAGCGTGAGGAATAAGGATTAATATTTACAGTTTATGGTTAGTATTAGGAATCCGATATATGGTTTTCATCACGAACTGGCAAAAGCTACAATGTCAAAACTATATTTAACCAAATTGATGAGTAAATTTAGAGCCGAAATTCGAGACCTGTTATCGTAAATTTGATTGGTTCGTCCACAAATTATAGCCTCGTCGAGCGCAGCCTGATGGGCACCAACTAGGGTAGGTAATTCAGACAGCCACAGGTTGGTATTACCTCTCGTCGGTACGACCTTGAGTGACTAGAAGACGGCGGGCAATGTGTACTTGAATCCAATATCCTTGTGACAAGCTCATGTACACAGGTTGATTTCATTGAGCTCGTCTTCTTTCATTTCTGTATGGTTCCGGATCTTTGATGGTGTCTTACGAGTACTATTCTAGACACCTGATTGGACTACTTGCAGGTATGTGCGTCTTGTAATCAGAGTTAATGTCTTAGTCTAAGAACAACTAAGTTTCTGGAACCGTCAGCTTCCACATTAACTAACAAGCTGCTGGTTGGCTACGTCATGAAAAATAATGTGGGGAAAATTTAAATGCTTAGATAAGGCGACTTTTTCAGAAAATTATTTAATTCACTAATAAGTTAATTAACTGGTAATGCAGACAGTGTGAGTAGACTGAAGTGTAACAATATGAAGACCAGCAAAGATGATAATCAGCGGGGTAGGAACTAGCTGATGATGTGTGATGATGATAGTAATAATAGTGTGTAGGTTAAGAGACATGTATCAGACACAACTGTTGTAACCAAGAGTGGGTAACCCATGAGTGAGTGAGTAAATGTTGAAGCCATCAATTAAGCGAGTTAAAAAGTTAAAGGGTACATGAGCTTTCGCTTTTTGATGTGAAATTTCTGAGGTTTTATTCGTGGAGAGTAATGTTGAAGCTCTGGTATGATGTTTGTGTTGTGGTGAACAGACTTACATGATATGTTGCATGCCATTAACAAATCTCTTATTCTCATATAGTTCGGCGATAATAATCCTGTGTTAAAGTGTATCCTCTACCACCCACTTTGCTGCCCTTCTCTATATTCGACCTAAGAGACTTATGTCTCTTTAGAAGATGGGAGTATGTAACGTTGTGGACTTCGAGGTAAGACCGTGAGTACGTCTTAGACGGTGTCAAAAACAGCTTTGGGGTGGTTGCAATATTTTGTCATCTTACAAAATGAAGGGTTATATTTGTTTCAGCTCTATGTCCAATGTGTTTTAGGCCAGTATTTAAGCTCTCTTGTTAGCAGCCCGAAATCACCTGCTGGGGAGACAGTTAGGAGCGGAATCACATGAAGGACGTAAGTTGTCTGTTGACAGTGAAGCGTAATGTTAATGACATGAAACTTTGAGGGGTTATGTTTTCAAACATTCCATCATCGCTGTAAGGTCCTTGACGGTCGTAAAAGGACCTCGACATCACAGTATGCATGAGGGTCGGTTTGGTAAGTTTTTCTAAGACCATGTCAGTGGAATCCATCTTTAAAACCCTTGTTATAACTGAGTACGACTCTTTGTCAAAAGCCTTAGAGAAGTCAACGAGTTCTACACAGGCCGTTTGGTCTCAGAAAGTCGTCCAGCTGTCTAGTGTTATGAGAAGTCTGGAAGGACAAAACTCCTTGATTTATCGGTTCCTGTTTAATCATGAATCTGTAGATATATTTTAGGTTAGCCTGTATTCTAGCTACCAGACAACAAAAAGTGTTTGAGCAATCATTTCTCAGTGCTCAATTGGTGTATGATATCTAGCATTTTCCCATAAACTTAATATATAAGGGCTGCATATAATAGTGTAATTTTCAAAATTGATCACTTGAAGCTATCTATATTTGAATCTCCACCCGTAGTCGTTTTGGGTTTCTGCTGTATAAAAGAGGACGGGTGGGCAGTAGGATAGCGACACAATCTCCAAAATCCTTGCTAACAGACATTAGCCAGAGCTAACAAAATGACCTATTTAACTCGCTCAGGGAAATTAGAAATGCGTATAGAAGAGCTACGATGACTCATTGCGATACAAGTGATAGAAAGGTCGTCCAAATAGCAGCATAAGTGAGTTGACACAACCCGACTGTTTGGGATAACTGGAACAGGTATTTTGGTTATAAACGTGCCTCATGAAAACAAGTGGATCACTAAAACTCGAAGACTAGGACAGCATTGCTGCTGATTGTCTATTGAGCTACTAATTATGGACATACACTGACCACTACAATGTACTTAAAGACGTATTCAATTCTGCCTCTCAACAATATTTATTATTAATTCATATTATCATACCTTAATTTCGTCTTTCTCCAGGAATAGTACACATCTTTGCCCACTCTCACTTCTCTATAACATTTAAGGCCCTTGAACTTTGACAGTTTGAAATCTGAGTTCAGCAGGCTCGGTGTTGGCTGACAGTCTTTAAATAATTACACAAACCGAAGGGAAAAACATTCATGGTTCAAAAATGTCCGCCGAAGTTAACGGAATGACTTTTTCTTCAGGAATCGCATAATAATGGCTTCAGTTGCATTAAGATACACATTAGACACAAGGTACAGACGGATGCCTGATAAATAACGTTTGGATACCAGTTGTTGAAGTACAAGATGATTGAGGGATTATTAACATTTGGGCATTTCTATGCATTGTGTCAAATAACTTCGAACCTCTTTAGCTACATAGATTTTAACATTCACAAAATTCTAGGTCGAATTCTTTTGACAAAGACTGTATCGCTTTGCATCAGCGGTCAACCGGTGTCTAGAAAAGATTTGTAGGTCATCGACGTAGATTATCTGTGTCGGACGATTGAGGACGTGCTCGGGTTAAACGGGAATGGTTCCAAAAATCATCTATCGTAGAAGTCACACCTCACGGTTGGTACCTAACGTGGATTAACGTTTCGCATGTTCAAGTACTTCGGCTGCTTTGATGACCGTACAAAACAAAAAAAGTTATTACAGGAATATGTTGTTAAATGCAGGTATGGGGAACAAAGTGCGATCACTGTTGCGTGAGCCAGTCCATGGCGCGCAATTAACTGATGCGCAAAGGTTGCCCTTGACCTTGATGCGAATCGATAAACTGCTCGACATGCAGTGACCTGACTACCTGACGATTTGTCTAGGGTTCAGTGATATATCATCGCGTCTGCAGACTGGTCTGCCAGAAGAATTCGAAGAACAGTATCTACCCTTATTACTGAGGCCTCTAAGTATTCAAACCACGAGACATTTATTGAGAGTAGTTAACTACAGTATCTGACTTCTTCGAATGAACTTGTAGTGATATTAGTCCTAACCACACAGTTTCCAAAGCTGAACCTGAGATAAAAGAGAAAATAGATATTCAAATTTTGACACTTAGAGAAGAACAACAGTGGTGATCGCAGAAATATTCATGCATTCAATCGGAAGGCATGGCTCAGCTTCATAGACGCGGTCATTCTGTATAGCTTTTCTTCATATTAAATATATTGTCCTATCTTCGGCCTAAATATGTTCTTCAGAAGTACTAAGAATCGTATTAATTGTTACGATATGATGAGTCAATGTAAACAATGATGTGAATTTCACGTAAGATCCAGTAGATTAAGAAATCACATTATGACAAGTCTATGCTTTTAGGATTAGGTCTATTGTTATCGTAGCACTAATAACAAACTAGACCATAATTCTAACCAAGTACTGTACAATTATACGAAACCCAAAGTCGAGTTCATTAAATTGTAATACAACTATTACAGATTAACTGTAACGAAAATGTTCCTACCATCATACAGAAGGCTGATTAATAATCCATCCCTGATATGTGATGGTCTGCTTGACTACCTGCTATTCATAAAATTATTTTACCCTAACAGCACGGTTTCAGGAAGGGTCATTCTTGTATAACCAACCTGGTGAATGTAGTGGACAGATGATCAACCATCCTCGATTGCAAGGAGAAGGTTGCCCTCATATATCTTGACTTCTCAAAAGTTTTTGGTAATGTCAATCATATCAATAAGTTTAAACGGTTAGATATCAAAACACTGTTAACTGACTGACTCATTACGTATTATAAATAATCGGCTATTTAGGGCCAGGTTAAACTTCACTTTTCCTCGGGCTAAGGAATATCTTAGTGTGGTCCTACAGGGTTCAGTATTAGGACCTCTTCTAGTAATTTATGTAAACGATTTCTTCAGCATGCATCATCCGATCTATTACTTTTCGCTGATAATATGAAACTCTGGAGCGACGTTTGCAAACAATATGATACGCTGACATTTCGAAAGGATCTCACTCGACTTCGAAGTCAGGCGGACGACAACGGACTTGCACTTAACACCTCAAAATGTAAAGTAGTTCATCTGGAATATGTCGTAGACTACGAACACTAAGTGGGTAGTCCCTCTCTGAAGATATTCCAAGCCGGAGCGTTGGCACCCTATGATCTGAAGGATACATTGGAACGTATCCAACGGCGAGCCACGAAATCAGCTCGGTTCAGCGTGCCACAGGTATTTGGAGTTTGACAATGCCTTCACATGTAACACCTTTAAAATCGAAGTATAACAACCCAGCCAACTCAGGAATCAGAAATGAAGAGGTTCGGAAATATGTTTGAAAGACTATCGATATATCGGGAGGCGTTTACTCTAAGCTGGTTGAAGGTTGTAAGAGATGTGTGGCACGGTGTACCCACTCGTGATCTGGTGCGAATGAATAACCGAGTACTTTCGACCAGTGAAATTGATGGGGTCAGTATAAATGCCGTGGATTCACAGAACTACTTATTCTGAGAATTTACTTGCCTCTACCGGGGACTCAAATTCAATCTTTATGAAGAGAGCCTCAAACCGGTGAACCTTTCCCCGCTATAATATAAGCGTCTTAGATGTGACCTTCTAACGAATTAAAACATTCTGAACACATCTGAGCATCTCCTCAAATACCTACTTAAGACAGGTTACAAGTCAAACCTCAGGGGCAACACCCAGAACCCGGAGACACAATATATATCGCTAACTTAGATCATTTATGTCAAATGATTGGGAGCCTACTCGAGTTAAACGGGAATGGTGTAAAAAAAGCTAACATCTAAGTCACACCTCGTGGTCAGCACCTAACGTGGACTGCCCCTTCGACGTATCAAGGTACTATTGATGCTTCGATGACCGTATAACACAAAGGACGTTACTACGGAACTATATTAGTAAGAATGAGAACAGAGAAGATAGTGAAACCGCCACCCCATGGGCCAGTCTATGGTGTATAATT